TGCCGTCCAGAACCTTTTGTCTTCTTGTCTGTTGTCCAAAAACATAAAAATTAGAATATACAAAACTATAATTTTGCCTGTGGTTCTGTATGGGTGTGAAACTTGGTCTCTGACATTAAGAGAGGTACATAGACTGAGGGTGTTTGAGAACAGGGTGTTGAGGAGAATATTTGGACCAAAGAGAGATGAAATCACAGGAGGGTGGAGGAAACTGCATAATGAGGAGCTTCATAACTCGTACTCTTCTCCAAGTATAATTAGAATGATCAAGTCAAGGAGGATGAGGTGGCCAGGTCATGTAGCATGAATGGGGGAGACAAGGAATGCATATAGGATATTGGTGGGAAAGCCAGAAGGAAAGAGACCACAGGGAAGACCAAGGCGTAGGTGGGTGGACAATATTAGAATGGATCTTAGAGAGATAGGATGGGATGGTATGGATTGGATAAATCTGGCTTAGGATAGGGACCAGTGGAGGGCTGTTGTGAACATGGTGATGAACCTTCAGGTTCCATAAAATGCTGGGAAATTCTTGAGTAGCTGCAGAATTGGCGGCTCCTCAAGAAGGGCTCAGCTCCGTCAGTAAGTAAGTAATGTGCCATGGTGGACTAACAAGAAAAGAGGTGTAACTTAACAAAATATTAAGATGAGGAAATATACCTTTCTTCAAATTAACACGCTCTTCGTAACAGAGGCAAGTTTCACAACACAGATTGTACGTGCATATAGATGTCCATGGGTTAAACATGTTAAAGCATACCAAACACTTATGGAACATTTTAAAAATCTGTCATGGAAACGGTGTCCGATTTAGTGATGTTTGCCAACATTCTGAATACAAGGGATGGTGGCATAACCCATAGGTCTAACATGAGGGCCTCAAACAGTGCTGATGAGTTCATGCAAATACAAATCTATTGTTGCAAAGTAACAGCACAAACATATGTGATTTTTCTTTATATTTCACTGAATAAGTGTTTTAAATAAAACTTGCAGATCTTAATGAAACTATATTTCATATCACATGCAATAAGCAATATATATATATATATATATATATATATATATATATATATATAGTAGGCTATATACTGGACATATATAATTCAATTTGTCTCTCATATA